TGCAAAATAAGTCAGAGAAAGACAAATACCATATGATTTCACAGATATGCGGAATTTAAGAAACCAGACTAAGGGGAAAAAAGAGACAAACCAAGAAACAGACTGTTAGCTACAGAGAACAAACAGATGGTTATCAGAGTGGAGATGGGTGGAGGGATGGGGAAAATGGGGGATAGGTATTAATGAGTACACTTATCACGATAAAAATAATAAATATTTGCATATCCATAGCTTCAGGATCACCGACAACCCACAGTCTTTACAGTGAGGGAAGGATTATTAATTTCATCTATTATATAATGAAATTGTAGTGGTGGTAAGACAAGATCAGGATAGTGACTAATAGAACAGTTAAAGCTGTTTCTACTTCTTGTATATCTATTGTACTTGTGTGTTACGTTAGCTGTTAACATTAATGAAATAATGTAAATCACTAAGGAGCTAATCAGGACAACAATCATTAATGTATGATCATGAAATGTAAAAGTTCTTCTATGATAGGGGATGCTGCATCTTGGAAACGTAGCTGGACTGGATATATCACCAAGATATAAAGTGTTTGGACTTCTAATTTCACTTAGACAAAGTTATATGATTTTTACTAATACCTCACTAATTGAGAAAGAAACAGAAGTTATGATATTGGCTTGGCACCAGCTGAAGGAGGTTTGAATCCTTTCCTTCCTATTTTACATTTATGTAAGAAGTTTCTTCAAAGGTATGATATGGGGGGGCATCCATGTAGTCATTTGAGACAAGCAGTTGTTAATTCCACCACTGCAATTTTGGCTTAGATGCAAATTCCTCTCAAATTATGAAAATAATTAACATTATTGCTATTAATGAAATGAATGAACCTATGGTAGATGAGATGGCATTTCATGCTGTATACACATGTGGATAATGAGCTGGTGGCATTCTTGAAAAGTCAAGAAAGTGTGATGGTAAGAAAGTTATGCTAACACATTTATTTGTGCTTGTGAAATGAATTTTTGCTCAGGCTGAGCTAAATGTATAGCCTGAAAATAATGGGAGCCAGTGAACAAATCCCCCTATAATGGTAAATAATGCTTCTATTGATAAGATATCATGAAATTATGCTACTACGTAACATGCATCATGGAGAACAAAGCCCATGGATCAAGTAGCTATAAGTTAAGTCCTTCCAGGCCTCCTACTGTAAATAAGAAAATAAAACATAAGGCTCAGAGTATGGCTGGTGATCATTTAATATTTCCTCCATGGAGGGTTGTTTCTCAATTAAATACTTTTACTCTCATAGGAATGGCAATCCTTATGGTAGCTGATATAAAACACACTCATGTGTCAACATCTATGCCAAAGGTGAATATATGATGAACTTGTACAATGAAGTCTAAAAATCCAATGGAAAAAAAAATAAAAATAAATTTAAAAAATAAAAACACAGAACCTTTGCCCTCAGCCCAAACCTACAGAATCAGAATCAAAATCTGTACCTTAACAAGACACAAAGGTAATCTGTATGCACATTAAAGTTTGAAGAACACTACTCTAGACATTAAAATTCATTTACTATAAACATACATCTATTCAAATGACAAGCAGCAAAGTCCATTAAAAATTAGAGAAAATATCTGAAAGCTATTTAACAGGTATTCTCCCCCAAAAATTCAGCCTTAACCACAAAATGATCAAATGTGTGAGGTAGAGGCAGCTGGGGGTGGGTGGGGTCTCTTGGGAGAGTTTATTATTGCATAAAACCTAATCAAAATCAATTTATATCTTTGAAAGCAACTGTAAAACAAATAAATTCCAAGCTGTCTGGTTAAAATACAGGTATCATTTAACATACTCAATATCAAGAAGATAAAATACACATTGACACATCAACTGACATAAAGTTGTTACTCGATAAATTCAATCAACTAATAAGCTATTATCTAGAAACTAAGGACAAAACAAAACACCGCTTCCTCATACTAAAAGCATCTGCTTTTCTACCTGCAAATGTCTTATTTGATTTCATTATAATGAATCAAAAGCCACAAAGCAGTATAACAGAAATGGGCCTACATTAATCAGTATAACCATAAATTAAACACTTAGGGACAACTTTTGAGTAAAGCTAAGTCTTATAACCCTAAAAAAAGGGAACTTAGTACACAGAAAGAAATTCTCCCCCAATATGGGCCAGGTGCAGAAAGTGTAAGAAGAGCTGATAGAAATACACTGGTAGCTTGAGCAAATTTATAGCACCCTCTATAATATCCTTAATAGCTCTACAATTCTGCTTTCTATTTTATTTCCCTAATAAACTTCCCATCTGGGAAGAAAATGGTGACCTACCAAAGACCTCAAAGAGTGATTCATTTAAAAACACCAAGAACATACCCATTACATGTAACACAAAAATCATATTTTCTGTGTAAAATAACTATTTTCTAGAACAACAAAAACTGAGGGAGAATACTGGTATTCTTTTACAGTTTTGCAAAAATCTTTAATGTCTGGCTTTGTAGAAAACAGATGAACTATTTGCTTCTACAGTCAGTGCTTTTAATGTTCTTTTGACTAACTTATATAAATATATAGACTTATAAAAATATGTACCTGGAAAAAGGAGAGTAGCATTTTAACAGACTTCAGATTTGTGGATATTCTTTTTTGATACTATACCAGATTCAATAAGTATAGCTTATTAGAACATTAATGTGGAAGCTGAAAGCTTATCAATAAACATTTTGATTTCTGTTACATTAAAATTCCTAATTCTGACCTTGCATTTTGAATGGTTCTTTTTCACATACATTATTTTGTAACATCATGCATTGACCATTTGGAAAATACTTGTTTGCTGAATTAATGTAGATCTCAAAATATTTGACACATTTCATTACATAAAATTTCTTAAAAATCAGATCTGTTAAAATGATCAAAAATCTCAACAGAAAACTGTTTTAAGAATAATAAAGCTGTTAGGGTCATGGTAGCAGATATGTTTTCCAAAGTTCTAATTTTCATCTAGAAGTTCACATTTTAACATGGCAACAAATACTGTTGTCCTTACTCTGAGAGTCACTTCATTTATTTTAAGAAACTATCTTACAAATACCCAAATACACTTTATATCAGTCACTCTTTCGAATAAAAAATGGTGTTTTATGAAAAAAGTGGCGTGTTCAGCTTGCCCTCAAACAAGGGCTTCAGTGCTTTTCCTTAAGACAGTCATCGTATTTGGCACAGAACAGAAGTGCTTTATATGCACTCTCATTTCGACACACAGGAGATTAAAAAGACACGTACTTAAGAGTTAAGATGAAGAATAATTGATCATTTGTACTGCTTCATCCAGAACAGTCTTAAGTGAGGCTGATATTCTTTCTACTGCAAGTGTGTGGCAGTGAAGAATGCAATAACCACTTGCACAGAGTGGTGCGCCGCCCTGCTCTGTGCTGTGTTGCCCACAGTTTGACCCACCATCTCTTTTGCAGATCAGTACAAATGTAAACACAGAGGCTATTTGCAAGGGCAAATAGCACCTTAATATTATTATGGAAACAGACTGGACCTCATGAATCCATTCCAAAAGCCTTGGATACCCCTATGGGTCCACAGAGTGCTTTGAGAAGCACTGCACAGCACCACTACACTAGAACAATCAAAACAATTCTAAGCCTTCCTATCATTATTATTATAGTCCACGGATGCACTCAATCAATGATTGCAGAAGGCTTGGTATGTGGTGCCAGGTGGGTACCATAAAGTGTCCCGGTGTTTGAGTGTCTTTGTGTCATTCACTCATATATCCCAAGCATCTAGAATAGTGCCTGGCTGGCATACAGTAGGCTTCTGGTATGTGTTGAATGAATAAATAAATGGGTAGCTATGATATATTTTAACCTAGATTCCAAAGTCCTAGAGTGCATCCCTCTCACATGAATAATCATGGGAATTGTTTTTCAACATAATGGGAAAGACTAACATGTTAGGCAATACAGAACCTCTACACTCATTACGCTTGGAGTAGTTTTACTTTATACCGTTCTAAACTTAAATTATTATAAATACAGGCAGTCTTCACTTTGCTTGATACCATGGTAACTGAAAGTCATGCATATTAGAAGCATATCCTACTCTGGTTCCGTGGTAACTAAAATCTGTGGTAACATGGTACTCTGCAAAGCACATTAGTGCAAATGGGAGGGAAATAAATGCCAAAGACCCACACACTCAACTGAATAAAGTGGGAAGGAAAGCATCTTAGGAAGAATGGGTGAGCAGCCTTTGGGCTGTGACTTTGAATGAGTGAGTGCCCCTTACAGGAAAGCAAATTAGATATCTAAAATGACTTCTGAAACTCCTAACATGCTTCCCTCCCACAATTCATCGCCCTTTGAGAATCACTGCCTAGTTATCAACTGAAAGAGGTATTTCAGTCCTTCAGTGGTATTTGTTTATTGCTTGGGGAGAGCAGGGGCCAAAGAATCAAGGTGGTTAAGGGGAAGGCAGACCACTTTATAAACTATTAGGACAAAATTAAGTTACAATAAATGGACTGATCACAGAAACTACAGGAATTAAAATTTCTCAAAACACAGTTAGATCAAGTCTTTGGAGTTCTGTCTCCTAACGCTTCTCACAATTCAATCAAAACAGCCTTAGGGATACTCAACACATTAAGCTGTACCCCTTCCCCACTTCCATGCCCACATCTAAACTCTGGATTTTGTTCTTCTTACTGGAGATTTTTTTTGATGAATATAAACATTCCAAAATATTACAAATTTTAAACAGCATATTCAGCTCCAAAAATGGGCATTCATGCATTTAATGTTTAAATGACTCTGCCAAGAGTTAGTAATAAATCAAAAGATACATGGATAAAAACTAGCGGCAGCTTAGCCATTAAAGTGTCAAGGAAGAAGCAATAAACAACTTTACTTAAAAAAATTTCTATTCTAAATCTACCTATGAAATACTATAAGAGGAAGAAATGGGAAATGCTATTTAAACTATACCTTAAAATGTACTATGATGTTCCAAGGAAGAGCTGAACTTGATGCAAGTAGATCAAACAGCAAACCAATTGGATAATGCCTAAAAATGAAAGAGTACGTTTTAAGAAAGAATATTTTAAAGTTATAACTACAACTCCAAAATAAATTTCAGCATATACTGTAACATCAAATATCAGGGGGCTTTAATCACAAATCATAGAATGATAACATATTACTGTTACTTGCCCAAGCTCATATGGTATAGTTTCCAGGTATCAGTTTTCTTCTAAGCATTTCATTCACTGAAGCCCCAGTATACATAATGGGATAGTGCTTAAGAATCTTTTCATCAGCCATGACCACTGCTGTATCATACTACTGCACTGATTACCATCCCAGTATTCACATTGGACAAACAGGTTTTTAAAGCTTATGTAAATATATTTTTTAATTTTTTAAGTATTAGAAAATTCTAAGAACCAAGAAAATCACCTTAAAAAGCATGCAATCATCTATTTTATGGTTAATATTAACGCCATAGAAAGTGAATCTTTTATTTATGCATACATATATAAATACAGATTAGGCTTATCCTTTATAAAACACTATTACCTGCTTTTTCTGTATAACAACATGCCAACATTTTCCAAAGTCACTGAATATTTTTCTGCAACCTCTGACTGAAGTCTTTTACAAAAATAAATTCAGGACTTCCTAAATAAGAAAACCTTTCCAAATATAAATATTACTTACAGTGAAGCAAACTATTTAGCAATAATTCAAACCCTGCAGATTTCAACAAAGAAATCTTATTTTTAAGGGGCAGGGGGTGGGAGGTTGGGGGAACCAGGTGGTGGGTATTAGAGAGGGCACGGATTGCATGGAGCACTGGGTGTGGTGCAAAAACAATGAATACTGTTACGCTGAAAAGAAATTAAAAAAAATAATAAAATAAAATAAAAACCCTAATAAATTGGAGTTAAAAAAAAAAGAAATCTTATTTTTTAAATCATCCTTTTAAAGAAACTAAAGTGGCTACAATAATGAAACAGAATTAAACAATACTTCCAACGAGGCAAAAGAGGCAAAAAGAGGACTGCGTGGTGTCCTGTACAGTCCTGTTTTTCATATGTTAGTGAATGATTCCTAGATTTAGAAGCTGTAAAATTTGGAAATACACCTAATTCCCCTCAAAACGAATGACCCAATACACTGCCTAACCAAGATTCAAATATTAATACTGTCCTGTTTGCTTACATCTACATCATACAATTGGTAAAAAGTCATCAATCACTACAGATCATGTTATTTAGAAAGAATTTAGAATGAATGTCCTGCTAGTAAAATGAAACAGGGTAGTTTTAGTCATATACATGTTGTATCTTTTAATAATAACCCTTAAACCTCTAAACTTGAAAGTTCACATCTACGATGAATCTTTCATAACCAAATATGAATACTGAAGGAAATTTTGGACTACCTAAATAATAGAATGTTTCCTTCAGAACCCAGAAAAAAAAAACCCTAGTCTGTCAAAATCTAAAACAAAAATAGTAATTTGAAAAACAAAAATACTCCATTAGAGAAAAGTTATAGATTCTATCCAATTCTGATACTTCTCTCTGAACTTCTTAAAATTGTACAAGCTCTACATAATGCTTTGTATTTTTACAAAACAGACTTTTGCTAGTCCTCATTCTATTCCAGGAATTCTATTTCATCATTCTAGGAATGATTTCATCATTATTTATCAATTATTCCCAACTATGCTAAAAAAAAAAAAAACTAAACTAGTAACAATTTGGAAGAATAATGGCATGCCATTATTCTTCATGCCATAGAAGGATGATATAACAATGCATTCTTCCATGTTCTCATTGTTTCACCTAGAATATTACATCAGATTTCAAGGAAGTATAAAGTCAGAATGCAGACCCCATTTTTGGAGTCTGCTTTTATCTATCATTAATATAGCTAAAAATTCAAAATGTCTAATTTTCCATGCATAATGGGAAAGAGAGGAAAATCGACAAGGGAAGATGTTACACAATTATTACATAAATCAGAAGGTTTTTACACAGACAACAGTACTTTGGATTTTAATGACAGTAGTAAAACTGATCGCTTAAGTGAAATCTCAGACTATGAGTCATTAGATAATATTCTAGGTGAATTTTACACAATTCAAAAACTAATGAATGAACAATATATTTCTAAAGACATGGTATTCTTAATCCACTTAGTCATTCAATGGCAAGAATTTCATCATACGATATTTTATGACAAGAACCTGAGTCATTTTGTTAAAAAGATGTGTGACAGTATTTTTTCATCTTTTACGCCATTTGTGCACTGCAATTTATCTGATAGTGAGCAAGAGCTAAAGGCAGATTTGTACCAAAGATGACTAGAAGGAATTATATGATGTAGAAATGAATGAGTATTGAACTGATCATTCTTATTGGCATTTACTAATGTAAACAAGTATTTTACAACAAAATCATGATTTGTCAAAGGTTTAAAAATTTCTTTAAGCACTGCTGTTAAGCAAGAAAAGCCAGAAGTCACAATAACCCAAAACCTCTTAGAGGTCTATTTGAATTTATGACAACTAATGAGTAGTTAGTTGCATTCAGAAGACATTGCCCATTTCTGTCTGGTATCTATACCTTCAAAACTAGGGAACTATGAAGCGTAAATGTGAATTTGCTCTATCTAAATGCTTTTTAAAATTTCTAATAAAGTTGTCATACACTATTTCTTTATTTTTCTCTAAGTTATTTATAAAATAACTTACATATATATTTTTTCAAACTTCACTGGTCTCAGATGGTAAATGGTGACTCTTTCCCAATATACTGAAGATTAGGATGAAATTTAAAAATTATGGTTTCCAATACTTACATTTAACTATAAATGTATGTAAAGAAACAACATAAAAGCATTCTAAATAACCAGTAATTATCCTATAATAATCTTTAAAAATAAAACTGCAGTAGAAAGAGCTATTTACTTCCTTCTATTATCAAAGTCTACATGTTCAGGTTATATGTGGCTCAATGCAGATGTTTATGTCAGAATGATTTTGATGCAAGGATACTAACCCCCCAAAAATACACTATCTGACTTAACTGGTTCCAAGACTGCTTATTTCTGATAAGTCTATTAATATGCAAGAAAATCTGTAACAGAAAACAGAACTAGCAAGAATTAAAGGTACTGAATTTCTCTTACACTATAATCTAATTTACATTAAGGGTTTCAAAAGTACTAATTTGTACAATTCCTCTAAACAGATACTCTACATAGTTCTGTCAGGAGGCTCCTAACCCACAACATAGAAACCACATAAGCCATAACTGTAAGTAAATCATAATGTAACCATTTATCTCTATGCTGCTACTCCTGCCAATCTAACCTAAATTTAATAGAAAAGGAAGTGGTAAGGATATGAACCTGGAATATATCCCAGAAGAGGGCCCAACTAGTAAGGGTTCACTCTACTGCCCTATAAAAATTCACCATACCAGAACAGTTAGTGTCAGGTCTATTTTCACACTTTATTCATTTTCTTTCTCTTCCTTAATTGCTCTAGTCTTTTCTAAAATCAATTCTCAAAATGAGTAATATTTTCATTTTTCTTTGCATAAGGTGTTTCTTCTCTACCCTTTCATTACTGCTAAAGTACATACACACGTACTGGTCACATGTATCGTTAATAACAGCTATGTTCCTAAATCAGCCAAGGGTGCTCTCAGTAGTCTAAACATCTGCAGTCAGATAGCAAAGCGGTATTCTAACATCAGCATTGAAAGAAAGCTTCCCCAAATACTCGAGGGAACAGAATGATCGTCCTACTCCATTTCACTGAAATAAAGGCATCCTATTTGTAAGTCTCCTAGTGATTTACTGGAAACAGGATTATATTTCATTGAATAAAAAAGGGTACAAACTGGGGCACCTGGGTGGCTCAGTTGGTTAAGCATCCAACTCTTTTTTTTTTAAAGATTTTATTTATTTATTTGACAGAGGGAGACAGAGATGACACGTAGGCAAGAAAGGCAGGCAGAGGGAGAGGGAGAAGAAGCAGGCTCTCAGCTGAGCAGAGAGCCCCATGAGGGGCTTGATCCCAGGACTCAGAGAAGGAAGCCGTTTTACCAAATGAGCCACCCAGGCGACCCTAAGCATCCAACTCTTGATCTCAGCTCAGGTTTTGATCTCAGGGTCCCAAGTCCAAGCCCCACTGATAAAAAAAAAAAAAAAAGAAAAAGGGTACAACTCAAATGTACACTAAAGTAATCTAATGTTTACAATCAATTTTGCCTTGCTTTACCTATGGAACAAACACGAACATCTATAAATTAGCACTATGTTTCACAGCTTTCTAAACCTATTCTTATGCATGAAAAAGTACAAAAACAGCCAAGGGATACTACCTGTCTCAAATGCTAAGTAAATCACATTTCAAAATTCAAGTTTACAGAATTTATACAATTTTAGAAATTCAATCCTAGGAAAAAGACAGTAAGAGAGAAGAGCCTGCACAGTATTTATAATTAAGAGGTCATTTTGTTAAAATTTACTTTTGATACCAGATAGATACAGTATTAAATTCTGGGTCATTCTGCTATGTCTATGTTTAAGATCATCAATGCTTGCTGGTTTTTTGTTTTTTTTTTTTAATTCAAAAGGTAGTTTCAACTTCTTACTTTCCAACCATTCCTGAAAATAAGTCAGTTTACACAAAATAATAATATTCTATTAGAGACACTTGCTTTTATAATTGACAAAAAGAAAAGCTTTTACTAAAATTTATACCGAAGGCCTAAGAGCTAACCAATATTAGGGCATACATACAAAGTGTTCTTTAGAAGAACCAGAAACTGTCCTCTTAAAATAATTCTAATATAAAAGTAAAAAATACAAACTTTGACCACTTGATTTACAGTAAAAAGGAACCTTCACCTTTTAAAATGCAATGTTAGAGCACCCTCTGCTGACTAATCAACTCAAATCACTCCTACCAAAAATAAAAAAAAGAAAGAAAGAAAGAAATCTTTGCATTTGAGTTAGATCAGCACTTTCCATTTACCATGTAATTTTTAAAACTTAAGGAAACAAAGGACTATAGGGGATAAAATGGTAATCAAATAAAGCCCCCTCAGATTCTCTACAAATCAACAATATACTAAGTATTCATTATGTGTTTGCCACTGTTCTTAAATTTTCTATTCTAATATGGACAAATAACGTAAGCAATTTAGAGAGACCATACAGAACCAAAGAAAACGACAACTAACAAATAGAATATCAGCAAGTATGGCGGGAAGACTGAACTGAGACTTTCAAAATCTGGTCCTACTCACTCATTTGAACAAGTTATTTTATTTATTTCAGCCTCATTTTCATTCACCCACTGAACAAACATTTACTTAGCATCTCTTATGTAGTACTGCTTAAGGTACAATAAGTCCATACCCAAGTATCTCATGCAGATATTTAAACAACTGTAATAATAAATAACAAATAGCAGGAGTTGAAGAGTAAGAAGTAATTACCGGTTTATGCTCTTTCTACTTTCTTTTATGAATTATCTAAACTGGTGTTTGATTTCCTTTCTCACTGGAATGTATTTAAAACTCCAAAGAATCAAGTATAAGAAAGATGTTATTACCCTACTCAAATAAATGCTCCTCTACTCTTAAGACACTTGCATGGTCTCAAAAGTCTCAAGCCCTATAAAACTTCAGTGGTAGCTGCTTCCCTATAATGATTATCCTATCATATCCTATATCCACTGCTTAAATGCCAGGTAGATATTGATAGCCTATGACTCCTTGAACACAGGAAGATGACTCCTTTAACTAGGAGGAAACTGCTCTAGTTGAGAGCAAAAAGAGAAAAGATGAAGACTTAGCCCAGAGGTCCTGGATTATATTCACGCCTCTGGAAGCTATTCCTTCCTCAAATATATGGAGTAGCTAACAATATGGTAGTTACTTGCCCCTTATGCAAGGGGGATATGTTCCAAGACCGCCCCAAGGATGCCTGAAACCACAGACAGTACCAAACTCTACGTATGCTACGTTTTCTCCTATACATACAGACCCATGATAAAGTTTCATTTATAAATTAGGCGCAGCAAGAGATTAATGACAATAACTTAGAATAGAACAATTATAACAAAAGTTATAATAAAAGTTCTAAGTGTGGACACTCTCTCTCAAAATACCTTATTGTACTGTACTCACCCTTCTTGTGATAATGTGAGATGGTAAAATGCCTACGTGATGAGATGAAGTGAGGTGAATAACATAAGCATGATGACCCAGTGTTAGGCTACTACTGTCAACCTTCTGACAATATGTCAGAGAAGGATCATCTGCTTCCAGACCGTGGCTGAGGGTAAATGAAACTACAAAAAGCAAAACCACAGATAAAGAGGTACTACTGTACTAAAGGAAAGTTTTATCAAAAGCCATTAAATACAATGAGCTTACAGCAAGACATAACTACGAAAGTGACATCATGCATAAAAAGTTAACACCCCAAAACCTACAGCAAAGATAAGTGAATACAATTACTTTCACATAAACTCTCTAAAAGGAAAAATAATTTTAATTTTTTTACTCCTTAATAAAAGATTCTCAGAAGACATAAATATTAACAAAGAACATGACATATTTGAGCCAAATTATTGCCCTGTGGTAACAGAAATGGGTCTAAACATTATTTGCTGATATAGAATACAAACTTAGAGAATACAAATCTTACCAAATACAAAAAAACCCCACCATACAGGATGGATTAAAACAGCAGCTGAAGGATGGCGACTGAGCAATCGTTTACTTAAGAGAGTCTGAGGTTTCCCATATTTTCCAGAGTTTCTCAATTGGGGGTGGTTTTGTACCCCGTCATCTCAGGACACCTGAGCACTTTTTATAACCATGACTAGAGGGAATGCTACTAACTCTAGTAGGCATAGACCAAAGCTGCTACTAAAAATCCTACATTGTACAGGGTAGCCTTCCCACAGCAAAGAATTACCGAGGTCAAAATGTCAATAGAGCCCTTGTTAAGAAGCCCTACCTTAAACTAATAAAACTGAAAGGCCTAGTGTCAGTCACATGAATTCTTAACAATAAAGTGTATATAACTAATACACATAGAGCAATACAATTCCAATATTCAACTATATAATACAGATCGAACTGTCGAGAATAGATAGATCCTACTGCTACTCACCCACAATCTTTCCCCCTCCTTCCTTTCCCTCTACTCTCCTGATCCTCACTCCTCTTATACTTCTTTTAAGCCACCTTCCCATTCCCAAACCTCCAATTCTTTCGAGAAATAAAAAGAAACGGAAAACATTGACTTATCTATGCTGCCTGATGTCTAGAACTATTCAAGCATCATAATGAATCTGATAAATGATCATGAAACTTGTCAATAGTGTTATTTAAAAATGAATGCTAAAGGACTTCACCATCCTTTCCCAGAAATGCCTCAAAAGGTTAGAAATGTGACCTATAACTCAATACAAAATCTCCTTGCTTCCAAAATCAATAAAAAATATCACTTTGTATGTTTCTAAACCATTATGAAAAATCTGCTCACTTGTGGGAATTCCACGTGAGGTGAGTTCCAAGAGTTCACCCCTCTCACTTCTAAGTAATGCTTATATTCAAGTCAGCTGCATTTGTTAAACATCTCCCAGCTTCCTTTTTTGTGAGCCTCTTTTAAAACTCTTCATATTAATACTCCAGATTTAGAATGCAAGCCCACTTTAAACCTACTTATAGTGTTCATATTTAAGTCTTGACTTTTTCATTCAACTACATTCATATAGCAGCATTTCAATACCTACATCCCAGCATACCTTGAATCATTTTTTATATTCTTCTCTGTAATTTCTCCAGTTTCATTAAATATTTTTGGAAGCGCAATTTATAAAACTCCCAGTAACAGAGGAAGTACAAAAATACATCATCCATACATGGATAAACCCAGATTTAGGATTTACTTTCAATATGTTTCTTACGAATGATAGAATATCAAAATTATTTTTCACATAAAAAAGGAAATCAATGTATTTTAAATACTAAGCCAAGGCTAGATAAAATGTGCATATGGCACTAAATGTGGTACTCAGTTTGAAAGATGCCACTAGGTAATCATGGGTATATAAAGATCTGTCATAAAAATTCTGGAGATAGAAGCAAAAACTGCACAGTGTCAAGGACTGACTTATTCATTAGGGAGTCTTAAATATGTCTGGGGAAAAAAAAACATAATCAAATACACTATTATTATGCCACTGAAAAATCTGTTGTTGAAAATATATACAAATCTGTCCGGTCTCCCATGCATCCAAAAGAAGGAAGAAATATTTTCAATAAAATATTTGAACAATAGTTTAAAATTCACTGTATTATATGAGCTAGACTACTGATTTATTTCTTTATGTAACTTTTTAAAAATTGCTTCAGGGCACTATACCTTCATAAAGCTAGCATATACTCAATGCTTAATAATGCAGAAAAATTCACTCACCATTTCAGTGGTGTGCCTTCATATTCAAACCATATCTCACTAATGTCTTCTTGTCTCATAACCTTCTGAAAGTGCTTTTTCACTTTGTCAGTTACCAACGTCAAATAACTTACTCTTGGCAAAAGCAACTGAAATGAAAATTTGTAAAACCGTATTTATTTACTATTTTTTCAAAAATATATATACTAAATAGGTCTTTGAATTTTAAGGAAAAACAGCCATGTTCTTTGCATTATTTTGAATATTCCACACAAAGTCAACTGCTTTTTAAAGCAAATCAAAGGCTAAAGGTTAAGACGTTTTAAATTTCTTTTGAGGTCATTACTTTAAGTAGAGCTTATAGTGTAAGTACCCAGAATAAACAACACAAATCTACATACAATCTTTCTATAATACTTTTCTCCACATAAAAATACAAATGTAATCAGATGTCATGCTCTTTAGGATACCTATTACGTCTATCAAATTCAACTTAAAAATTGGTATGATTCACCTGAATTAATTAAAGTATTATGAGAAAATAATAAGGTACTTCCTGACTTATCAATCGGGATTTCTCAATTGGTCCATCATATTTTGATAATCTACCATGTATTAGCTTAATCGCGATGAAGAACACCTCTTCTATATGAGGCTAAAATAAAGGTAAAAAAAAATTCATAAAAAATACTTACAAAAATACTTTAATGCAGCAACAGAAAAGCCTTTAAAGATCAAACAAATTTTCGTTTGATGAATAGGGGCCCACTAAGATACAATGAATAAAAGAATGGCACAATGAGAAACAGTATTTGAGGAATATTCCAGCCATGGTAGATATAAAGAAGGTAAGATTATAAACTGGAAATCTGTTAAGGAAATATTACATGAAGGGATGGGCATGAAGGAATGGAAAAATAAGAAAGGTCTGGAAATCAGTCAGAACATATTTTGGTTATTACTAATCAAGAAACTGAAGGAAAGAAGTTTAAGATGACTGACTGTAGAGCCACACATTTAAAGGGCAATTAAGGCACAAGTTTAAGGTATAATGCTGGTAGACTGGTCATCTGCCACTGTCCAGCTCCTCCCTCAATCCTGTCTTTATGGAGACTGGGCCTACTTGGACTTTGGAGAGAAAAGTCTGAGAAGGAATGTTGGGCTAGCCTCAACTGGCATATTATTTTTCCCCCACCAAAGATATACAGAAAGAAAACATAAGAGAACATTTAAGAAAACTGGTTAGAATTTTATAAAGAACACATGAGTGGACAAAAGGAGGAAACTGGCAAAAATTCATGTTTTCCCAGGAGATACTCTAGTCATTTCTTGCTTTGCTAAGGTTCTGTCTTTTGCTGGTAAAACTGTTTTATTACTTTCTTTCAGCTGCATTTGAGAGGCTAATTCTGCATCATTTTTCATGCTGTTTATTCAGTTATTATGTCTTTTGGTCAGTAAATCAAGTAGAATTATGGGGCTGGGGAATACATACAAAGAGAAATATTCTGGGTAAAGGAACTAATATTTAAACACTGAAGATCAAGATTAACAGGCTCCAACTAGGCAAGAGAACATGACAGTGGTCCTGGGGACAAAAGGGTACAGGGAGTGGGAGGTAACTGGCATGATCCAGTATGGAAGAGAAGGCACTTACTAATACTAGAAACAAGCTTTTGGATAGCAAAGATGATTCAACAAAACGTAAGTTCCTCCTTTATGAAGAAACAACTAGAATGTGGATTAGGAAATAAGAGAGAAAGGAAACTAATACAGTGTACAAGAAAAAGCACTAGTTGTTTCACAGGCAATGGTATCACCTCTAGTTTACATGGCAGTTTAAAAAACTTGTCAAAATCATATTCTATTAAATAAATGGCAAAGAAACGATTCATTAAAATTGGAAATGACAAAATCAAATATAGATGTAACATGGACGTTTCCTAAGAAAGTAAAACAGCATGATGAATCAACCATTTTTTTTAAATAAATAAGAACACAGTTGACCCCTGAACAATGTGGTAATTAGGGGCACCAAACCACCACATAGTTCAAAATCTTCATGTGTAACTGCTGACTCTCCAAAAACCTAACTACTAATGGTCTACTGTTGACTAGAAGCCTTACCAATAACAAAGTCAATTAACAGGTATTTTGTATGTATTTTACACTGTAGTCTTACAATAAAGGTAAGAAAATGTTAAGAAATCATAAGGAAAAGAAAATACATTTAAAGTACTGAACTATAAAAAAATCAGCGTATAAGTGGACCCACATAGTTCAAGCCTATGTTAAGAATCAATTGTAATCTGTAAGTTCTATCAACTGTAAGTTCTATACTAGTAAATACAGAACTTTTAACCTCAAATGTCTCTTGGGCATTAAATAGTAATGTATCCTACAGAGAATATTAACCTACAAAGATTACAAAAAAAGAGGAAAGACACATCAGAACTGATGAGCATGGATAGCAGCTCCTGATTCTGGGGTGCTGTACTACATGCATAGGGTTTAAAGTTGCTGTAAAGTCCACAAATGATCTTCATGAAATGAAAAGTTCTTCACAATAAGGAATGAGGAACCCTAAAATGTAAGCTCCATTAAGACAGGGATTTTTGTTGGTTTCGTTCACTGCTACATTCCAAATGTTCAAGAGTGTCTGCTTTATAGTAGGCACACAATAAATATATGCTGAATGAATCGCAGATCCCAAAGATTAAGTGACATAAAGCCAAAAATGATAATAAAGAATTTTCCTTCTTAAGACAGAATCTACACTGAAATGTACTTGGAATCTTCTAATCTAAATTAGCCTGTTGGAGTAAATTGTAACTAACATAAATACCGGTAGTAGCATTAAGAAATAACACTAAGATTTAAGAATGACTGTATTAGATGTAACTTATCTACTTAATAAGTAAAAATGAAAAAAAAAGTAAAATGACATCATCCTACCGTCTATATTCAAATAGTACCACTCACTGATTTTCTTATGTGTATCTCATTGGTTTACTTTCTTTTAATTATGATAAAATTAATTACGGTAAAATATATCTAGCATAAAATCTGCCATTTTTAAGGGTATAGTCATTGACATTAAATACATTCACACTGTTGTACAACCATCACCACTATCCATCTTCAGAATTTTTCATCATCCCAAACTCAAATTCTATACCAATTAATCTAGTAAAACTCCCTCAACTCTTCTCCCCAGGCCCTTCGAACTATTTTAGATACCTCATATAAGTGGAATAATGAACTATTTGCCCTTTTGTGTCTGGCCTATTTCACTTCCATTAATGTCTTTGAGATTAAGTTCTTTCAATATGAAAAGGATTATCCCCCTTTGGGGAAACTGCCAGCTACTTGCAATCTATTGTTCTCTCATTCTTGATTTAGCACTATCAAGAACTCAGTGAGTACTAACACACAAGATCTTTTTTTTTCTATACAGCTTGTAAGGAATACATGTTTCATATAGCTGTATACATCACTTTGGTTCTCAAACAGGTAGCTGTAATATTACTTTTTTATACCAAATCCTAACTTTTCCAGTAATTTTAAATTCTAAAATTAGGGACTTCTAAACCTAGAATGAATATAGAATTAAAATATACTAGAATTCTGTTCCATGTGTGAGGCATCACACCAGGCAATGAAGATAGAGCACTGAATGAACAAGAGTTCTTGCTCTCACAGAGCTAACAGGCTAGAAAGGTAGTCAATAAAAACAAAATTAAAAATGTGATGAGTGCAAGGAAAAAGTAAAGAATGTTATAAGAGCAAGTAGCAATGGAATTTAACTTCATGTAGGGGCTTAGGGTAAGCCCGGACGGGATGTCTACGTTAAGGCAACAGCCAGGAGATAAAGAGGACTCAAACATGGGTGTTGTGGATGTCTGGTTCTGAGCCAGGTGGGAGATCCTGCTGCTCATTATAGACAGAGGAAACTGCAAGAAGGCATGGAATGAGTATAGAAAGACAAAGACTGGCACAATGAGGAACCATAAGTTGAAAATGACAATAATATAGAGGGTTGAGGCAGAATAGTACTAAAGAAGCAAGGGACCAGATCATGGAGAAAGTTGTAAACTACACGGAGGATCCTAAAGATGATGAAAGGCTACTAAAGGTTTTAAGCAGGCAGATGACAGGATCAGATATGTGTTTTGAAAAGATGATTCTAACTGCAAACTGAAAATGGAAAGAGGGCAAGAATGAAACTAGGGAGGTTACTTAATACTATGAAATCCCATTGGTTTTTACATGGTGGTCTAAACTAGGCTGTAGCAATGGGTATGGAAGAAACTGGGTAAGTTTCAAAGATATTTGACATGTGAAATCAGATGGACTAAGTTACTAACTGAATGCCTGGGATACAGGAGAAGAAAGCAACAAGGATGAGTCCTTTCTTAATTACTGTTAAGAGTTATTAATTAACTGGGTCTACTTGCAAAAAGAGGAAGGGATTACAGCAGATGACCAGTCTGTCTGGAGGTAATGATGATGTGTCCAGTTTCAAAACACTCAGTTTGATATCCAGCAGACACACACATAGGTATGGAGTTCAGGAGAAAAATCTTGGGTGTTGTCAAAATAAATACAAGGAATTTTAGCTCAACAAAGAGGTAAAAATGGATGATAACTCCAGAGGGGATAAAGTGAAGAGGGGTGAAAAAAGGCAAGGCCCCAAGGAATGCCAACATTAAGAAACAAGCAAAAGGAAAGAGATCTGGCAAAGGAGACCAAAAAAAACCCCAGAAATGTAGAAGCAAAACCAGAATTATGAAACATTGCAAAGCAAGAGAGAACAGTAGCACAAAATGGAGAAAACAGCCAACAACATTAAAACACCACTGAGAGGGGTGCCTGGGTGGCTCAGTGGGTTAAAGCCTCTGCCTTCGGCTCAGGTCATGATCCCAGGGTCCTGGTATCAGGCCCCACGTCGGGCTCTCTGCTCAGCAGGGAGCCTGCTTCCCCCACCCCCCGGCCTGACTCTCTGCCTACTTGTGGCCTCTATCTGTCAAATAAATAAATTTAAAAATCTTAAAAAAAAAAAAAAAAAAAACCACAACACTGAGAGATCAAGCAAATGAAAAGTCAAAAACAGACTCAAAGTCTGGCAAAAAAGATGTCATTAGTGACTTCAGCAAAGACAGTTTTGTTGGAGTAGTATGAAACTGTGATTCTAGTAAAATAATTGGGAGGTGGGAAGGAGACAATGAGTACAGACCACCTTTTTAATAAGTCTGGCCATGAAGGGAAAGCAAGAGACTGAAAGAGAGATGGAGTCAACAGAGGATTGTTTTAGGGTAGGAAGGATGTAAGATTATATAAATGCTGCAAAAAAGGAGCTGGTAGGTAGAAGATGAAAGGAAAAGAAAGAAGGCAGGGGTGGAGGTAGGAGAATATGAGAAACCACCATCTTCCTGAGGATGGTGGGAAGATGGGATCCAGAGCAGAGAGAGAAGGCTAGGGCTTGCCTTGGAGGAAGGACACCTCTTCTATTATGAGAGAAGTAGTGAATATGTGTGAGTGCAAATGTGTTTAGAAGACTTGGTGCCAGAAGGTTAAGGAAGCAGGAAGTGAGGTTACCTGTTAAGAGTGAAAAATAAGGTCAGGGCTCAGCGAAAATAGTTTTGGAGAAGAAGAACAGAGACAGCTGACTAAGGAAACATAAAAGGACCACTGTGTAATGTTTAGGGTCCACTCAGATTTATGATCATGTGAATGAATGAGTGATTTCCTCTTGTAACAAGTCAAAAATATGAATGCATATTGATATGTATGCTTTTACATTAGATAATCTAAATGAAAGTCAACAGTTTAAATAAATATAAGAAAAACAACAGAAACTGAAAGACTGCCTAGTTTCTAACACTTTTTCTTCCTAATATTCCCCGCAAAATAAAACACAATGCTCTGACATAGATATGGGATATAGGCTGAAAAGAGATTATGCAGAGGCAACAAATCAAAATGCAGAAATAGGAATATATTTAAATTAATATTCTTTTCCATAGGAAACAGACTCTTTGAATAATAATTTAATTTATAAATTTAGTATGAGTAAATATGTTTAAACCTAGTTTCTAAGAAATAAGGAATAAGCGCTATAAAAAAGTAAACTACAGAAGTACCTGGCTGGCTCAATCAGAGCCAGGGTCTTGATCTCAACATCATGAGTTCAAGCTCCACACTGGGTGTAGAGATTGTTTAAGAATAAAATCTTTTAGAAGAAGAAGAAAAAAAAAAAAGCAAACAACATTTTCAGTCACCTATCCTTTCTACACAACCACCTGAACATGAGTGAACTTTTCGGGCCACAGTGATAATCCTATTAATCACCTCACCTGAGCTTTGAGAATGTCCAGGAAAGAGGTTTACTGCCTCCTAGGCTATGTTATTTTTACCTCATTTCATCTGGAATCTTTACAATATTATCATTATTATAAAGTAACACAATTAAAAATACATTTAAGCGTAATTTACAACTAAGACACACGTAAACCAAAACCAGACTGGCACTATCATTCTCATTTATAATTCTAAGACTAACCACTGCTGAGGTTTTCCTGTATTTTCTTCCTGCATGTAGTACCTTACATTTAATTATGTATGTATGTATATAAAGAGCAAAATACAGGTGATGCCACATGGTTTTAAACTGTAGCTTTTTATTTAGTATTTTTTATATGCCTGTCACCTGATATTTTTCAAAAACATAGTCATAATTGCTATATGAAGTTCCTTTGGGTGAAAAATTAGGGGAAACTGTATTTCAAAAAAATTATCAGTTAAACAAAAGAGCTTTCTTCCTCCTATAGATATCCCCAATACTTGCTGCCATTTTCAATTCAATTAGAGACAGCTAGAAAACAACTTAACGCTCCACTCTCACAACAAACTTTTCATATTTTACAGATTTCATACATAAAGAAGGAAAAATATTATATTCTTCACTTGTTTTTTTTAAACTACAAGAAGCTGCCAAACATTATATTTTGACTTAAAAGTAAACAGACTTAAATTACATATTATATTTGCCACTTTGACCAACTAGACACATATATTCCTTTGTTTAGTTATGATTAGAAAGGCACCAGAGGTTAAAGTTTTAATTAAAATAACAGAAACTAGTTTGGAAATAAAACATAAGTGATATCCTAACATATATTACAGAAAGAGAAGGAAAAAAAATATACCTAGCAAGTGAAATTCTTCTAAAAATAAACTGTGACATTTTGTTTTTAACTACGGAAATTTTTCTAAAGGCAGAAAACTGTTGAGATTTCCAAAGTTAAAATGACTCAAAATTATATATTCAGTTATGATAACCTGAATACTAGTAACGAAAGACTGCCCAATTTCTCTGAAATTATTTTCCATAAGAAAACCCAAAGAGACAATTTAAAAACAAAATCCCAATGTGAATATATGAGACTTTCATGCACTGAGTGCCTACCACTTGCATGACCTATGCCAGATGCTGAGGATACACAGAGAAAAACGAGACCGTTCCTATACCCAAAAAGTGAGTGTATGGGGCTCCTTAAGTAGCTTCCTCCATCAGTCTGACTTCCCATGGCTGGAGCAGGCTGAGGGGCAGTGCTACCCCTCAAACAGATAAGGGAGAAAGCAAAGGGCAAGCTTTATTAAAGCAAAACAATAAAGTCGAACACCACACATAAATTTTCACTTTTCCAGATATTCCTAGGTAAATAATATTATGTGTACCTGAGACAAAACTAAAATAATGACAACTGAAAATGTCTTTGTCTATTAGGGCCTATTCAGTAAAAAGGCAAAATACTATTATTTCTGATTGACAGATGCTCAAGTTTGGATTATATGTGCACTTAGAAAAGGAAAACAAGGGGCGCCTGGGTGGCTCAGTGGGTTAAAGCCTCTGCCTTCGGCTCAGGTCATGATCCCAGGATCCTGGGATAGAGCCCCACATCAGGCTCTCTGCTCAGCAGGGAGCTTCTCTCTGCCTGCCTCTCTGCCTACCTGTGATCACTCTGTCAAATAAATAAATAAAATCTTTAAAAAAAAAAAAAAAAGAAAGAAAGAAAGAAAGGAAGGAAAGGAAAACCAGCAGGTTATAATCAGAAGATATTTGATATTGTTTTCTAGAACAGATGACACTAGTTCAAACCTACAAGTCTACATACAGTAATTTGTTATTATGTATTTTATATAATACATTTTAGCTTATCAACATGAAAACACACACATTCATATGTTCATTGAGCTATAAAAAGAATTTGGTAAACAGTTGCTTGGAACCACTTAAATACAGAAGAACCAAATCTGAGCCTATTACTTTCAAAACTGCTCCTATAACAATTTAACTTATAATTGTATATATTCATGAGAAAAGAAAGTCAAGGAGGTCCCATAATCAACACATCAACAGCAGTTTTTCCCCTCTGGGGGGTAGGATTAGAGGTAATTTTTATTTCCTTCCTCTTCTTGATCTGTGTTTTCTAATTTTTTTCCATAATCAACAAGTATTAATTGTATATAAAATGTTGGGTAACAGCCTCCAGGTTCTTAGAGCTTCATTTACAGAAACGGACAAAGGTAGATATCCCATTTTCCATCATCAACATACTTACATAATATGGTTCCGCCTCCCGTTCAGTTATCTCATCCTGATACAGGGTGAAGCAAGTTGGAATTCGTCCAAACCAGACATCTCGAAGCACATCTTTGTCATCTGTCATTCTTCCAGTGGTTAAAGCAGTGCATATAGGCTAAATTCTTTTTTCACCCAAAGCCAAACTGAAAATAAAACAAAGAGCATTAGTTAGATCCTTGCAAGGATAAATGAACATGTTCTAGAACAAAGAAAGATTATAGGAAAAAATGGATGCCATGAATGATCATTCATTTCAAAAAACTGTGTGATCAACATTCTTTAGAAAGAACGCAAAATCAGCACAATAAATTCTAAATGCAGAGCTATTATTTATTTAAAAGGATCATAGAAGTAATTCAAAATAACGTGTGCTAACTTATGCACCTAATGAACCACAGCCAAAGTGAAACTACACTTGTATCATTCTCTCAAGCCCCAGGAGAGTCTATTGCTCATCTAAAGTGAAGTTTGCCTATATCCTTATGGTCCTTTATAGCCCAATTCCAAAGTATTATCACTGCCCCACCTAATATATTCAACCTCTCCTTATCCATCTAGATAGTTTATTTTGCTGGGGGAAAAAAAATATGCACGTGCACGCACACACATATATCCTGGAAAAAAACTTTGTATAGACCTAGTTTCTTTCTAATTTCATCCTGCCCACGGTTTGGTTCCACCAATATTTCCAATCTTATTTACTATACTTCTTTTGGTAAACCTTCTAGCAGAACTATCAATTTAAATACCTTGCTCTCTGTCTTACCATTCTCCCTGACTAATACACTCATCTCCCACCTTCAAATCCTACCCACTCTGCAAACCCAGATCCCAATCCTCTACCACCATGAGTATTAGTAAATGTTTCTACACTAACTTAAGTATTCTCTATCCCACATATATAGCACTAAATCTGCAAACTGAAATATTCTGGGTATGATAGAAGAATATAGCTTTTGGCCTCTGTAATATCCAAGTGTCTTCCAGCACTATTTCACAACTATGTAACAATGTAATATACAGTATGAGTAAATGCAGAAATAAACACTGTCAGTACCTGGATACTGAGATTCCATATCCTTCTACATATATATGTACATATATATATGTATACATATATTATGTACAAAGATATAGATATATAGCTTTCTAGATATAGATACATAGATATATAAGATATATATCTTACATAAAATATATATAGATATTTAAGATATAGATACACACACACACACACATCTCCCATGTTTCATTGGCTAGCATATCCTATGGCAATATTTTAAATAACCACATCAGTTTAGCCAAATACCAATTACTAACACTGAATTATTCAAAGAGCTTTTCTCTCTTTTCTCATCCACTGACCAATGCCAAGCACATCAAGATTGCCATTCGTTAATTAGTCAAAGATACAAAAACTCAAGAGTTCTGAATTTTGTATCACTATAATTAAGTGCACCTTGGAAGTCAACTGGATGCAACATTATCTACAGGTAAATAAACTGAAAGAGGTGAAAAAAATCTGTCCAACATTACAAGAGCACTTAGTTAGTTAACAGTTAAACCAGGATAAACATTACAAGACCACTAAAGTAACAGTGAAACCAGGATAACAAATCTGGTCACTGAGTTACTGAACTGAGTCTACTGCTCTTTCTGGCATAATGCAGTTTTAATTTTTGTTAAAGTATATCCATAAAAGTCACCATTTTACGCAAATGATACAAGCGTTCACACTTCATATAATTCCACCCTGATACACTTCAAATTCAAACAACATACTGAGTTTCTCTGCAGAGAATTTCCAAGTTTACATATAACACAAAATTAACACTGAAAGAAAAGACCTCGCTATTTCTGGATTACATTAATATCTTGTTCTTTATGAATAAATCTACTGATGACAAGGAATAATGAAATCTAAGTTATGGCAAATAAGTAAATCTAAAGTTGAATCTAATACAACGGTGGTAAGCAGTGGTTTAACTATAATACACCCAATTAACCATTAGCTAGACCTAAGATTCCTCTCTAGCTCACAAAGAAAAAGAACTTGAGACAAAGAGTTCCTTTCCTAAGAGATTTTAAGAACATTTAAATACAATTTTAAAGCCAAAAGTCTCTATCAATATTGTCACACTGGATAATTTTTCTGCCTCAGAAAAAAAAAGGTAGACAATATAATTCAAAAGAAAATTAAAAATTAAAGTGGATATGGCCACTTAAATAAAGTTCTTTCCTTCTCTCCAACCACTATCCTCTCAAGAAGGAATAGTAATCTGATTTGTCAGATTCCAAGACACCATTTGAGTCTTGTTTATTAACAGGCAGGGGTTATCATAAATAAAAATATTATAGATTTGGGTATGGCTCCCTTCTCTCCCCTCTACTCTGCCAGATGACAACACTTGGCCACCCTGCTATTTCTTGCCATGGCACTGTCTTCTGCTTCTTCCTTTCATGTGTCAGAAACAATAAAGAGAAGTGGCCAATGTCTCCCTTTTCTCTTTGTTTCTGGGAGTCTCTCCCCAACAATGATGGAAGTATGGACTTACCTTTTACTGGTTTTATACCTAAAATCCCGCTACAGAACTCTGGTAAACATAAGACTTTGCCAAAGTTCTAAGGTAGGATTTTAGGTACAGAACTCAGTACCTTATTTCCCATATACCACTGTTTCTTATGTATATATACCTTACAGGACCTCAAGGGAAGATCTGACTGAGCCAAGGCAGCTGAAGGTGCCATGTGGTAGTCAATACAAATTTTATAAAACAACAGAAATTTCTAAACAGATTTATGAAAACTTCAAACAATGTCACTGGGTCAAACCACACAGATCCAAATTTATAGCATCATAAAATGTTAGTCTTTCAATATTAATAAATATTCATGTATAATGAACTATGTAAGAAAGCATGCAAATACACTTAACTAAACAACATCCCAAAAAACTAGCTGATACACTGATACAACTAAAGGATATATTAAATCGTATTTTTTAAAACAGAAGCAGAAAAACAGAATTTAACTCTTGAGAGGCACTACAATGTGGGGGTTCAAAATATAGAATATGGAGCCAGACTGCCTGGATTCAAAACCTAGCTTTATCACCAACTCTGTGACCTCAAGTAAGTCAATTAACTTCTCTGTGCCTCAGTTTTCTCGTCTGTAAAATGTGAATAACAGCACTTACCCCATAAAATAGATAACAAAAATTAAATCAATACATGTAAAGCACTTAGGACAATGCCCATAATACGTACTATGAAGTAACTATCATAATTTACAGAACCAACAAAAGCATGTCTCAAAATTAAACACGGTGTGACATCTGGGTGGCTCAGTCAGTTGGGCATCTAACTCTCGGTTTTGGCTCAGGTCCTAATCCTAAGACTGAGTCCCACGTCCATCTCCATGCTCAGGGCAGAGTCTGCTTCATATTCTCTCTCTCCCTCTGCGACCCTCCCACTCATACTCGCATGGGCTTGCTCTCTCTAATAAGTGATCTTTTTTTAAAAAAATTGAACACTTCTATTAACACTCAATAGAGAGTCAATCAATATTTGATCATTTCCTATGCCCAGCTGTGTGGCAGATGCTGAGGACATCCAAGATGATGATGGTAGTGACAATAACAACTTTTTAAAAACCTCAGGCATTGTCCAGAAGATATTATCTCCTAACCTAGTAAACATACCATAAACTTTCATATCTTTTCTATGGCTTTGCTCATGCTGGTGGTTCCTTACCCTAAAGCAGCCTTCCCTACCTTGTCTTCTGACTTAAACATTCTCTAAGACCCAGCTCAAAATAGCCTTTTTTTTTTTTTTGAAGATTTTATTTATTTGACAGAGAGAGAGACGAAGAGAGAGGGAACACAAGCAGGGAGAGTAGAAGAAGGAGAAGCAGGCTTCCAGCAGAGCAGGGAGCCCAATGCAGGGCTCGATCCCAACACCTGGGCCAAAGGCAGCCGCTTAACAACTGAGCCACCCAGGTACCCTGACAGCCTTTTTTTTTATGCATAACTCAAGTGAAACACTTCTTTTCTCATTGCACTTTCACTTTTACAACACTTAAAAAGTTACAGCAAAGGTTTTTTATCTCTGATTTCCAATCTCGTATTCTTTCATTTATGTCATACCAGTTGCCAACAACCTTCCAACTCCAAAATGTCCATGGTTATAATTAAATGCTATTTTATGAAAGCTTTCATAAGGGAAGAGGGTGGAAAGGAAGAAGAAAAATATTAAATCCCCTATAGTGTTCAGGGAAGAATTTAAAAGATACGGAACTTAAAGAATGTGTAGAATATTAAAAAAAAGAATGAGTATATGCAGAATGGGTAGAATATTCAATAGGTAAAATATGGAATAAAGATACTCCAAGCAGGGCAAAATAGCATCAACAAAGACAGAAAGTGTGCAGGAGCAATGTACATGCCAATTTTTTAGGAAACTGAGTTGGGAGGGGTAGTAGATAATGAAAGAGCTGACACAGTGACATGTTATCACCTGGGATCCCAGGCAAGTCACTTTCCTACAAGGGTTTCCTCACCTTTGAAATTCACCAGGTTGTTCTGGGGCGAAAAAAAATCTAGAAAATACCATGACATGGTACTAACACATACTAAGTGCTGAGAAATAATAGCAATTATTATTTCTCTGTCAAATCCATAAATGTAAAGTGAAACTAGATAATGAAGCATACCAAACAGAAGACTGTGGGTTCTCAATTTCATCGAACAAGCCTACAAAGCCTGTAAGGTTTTATAACAGTGAAATTAAAACAACTACCTAGTAACAGTGCACAAAAGGAGATCTCAAGTCAGAGAGAGGGTAGCCAGGAAGCAATTTCAACACTAAGGCATAAAATAATGAGTGCTTGACCTAGACTGGTAGCAGTGGATAGATGAAAGACAGATATGAGGTCTTTCCAAGGAAGAATGAATAGAAGTTAATGAAAAACTGGCTGAAGGATAACGAACAAGGACAGAGAAGATTTAAATGCCAACAGCAGACAATACAGATAGATAGTTAAGGGGTTTTAAAATCAGACTGACACGGGTTTAAACCCAGACTTCCACCTGTAAGCTGTGTGTCCTAGTATCCCGACATCTTTGAACCTTATATTTGTAGAAGATAATTCTCATTTCACAGGGCTGTTAGGTGTTTAGCACTGGTGACCACTCAATAAATGACATATGCACTTAATACATGATTTCCTCATGCCTCCATGACCTGTCTCCTTAAACACCCTTGGTCCTCTTCTTTTTGGCCAATTCTTAATCTTCTTTTAAGAGTCAGCTTAACATCAGCTCCTTGGGAAGCTTTCCACTAAGCAATCTCCAATCTAATTACTTCTATAATAGCATGTTATAACCATGCACTGTAGTTATGTTTATCTTATCGCTCTCTTGCCTGTCCTCACATTGAACTGTGAGTTCACGGACAGCAGAAGCAGAGTCATATTTATCTTGTATCCTCTATATTAGCATAATTAGCACATAGCAGGCTCTGGAATTTTTGTTAAACAATTAGAAAATATATAAAATATATAAAATATATAAATTGTAAAGTTACACTAGCTACTTAAGAAAATTTCCCACCTAAACTCTTCTCCAAATCAGTATAATCACTCTTTAAAATCAGTAAATTTCATTATTTTGCAAGATTATTTTCCCCTCTCATACGTACACCACAATTTCATCACCATGCATCCAATTAGAAGGCAATATTTTGGAAGCATAGAAATCACAACCCATGATGCAGTCTACTAGAAGTAAGCTTGTGGAGGACAGGGCCATTTCCTGACTGCAACTAACTCAAGGCCTGGAACAAAGCAGGTTCCCAGCCAACAATATTTAGCAAACAGCACAAGAAGTATAATAAAAATATAATGCAAATTACTAGTCTCTTTCACACTACAAATCAAGAAAAGCTAACCTATTACTTGAAGCTATTCTGCTGACACAATCCCCAACTACCTAGAAACTACTTAAAATATCAAATAACTACTGGTAGTAAATTTGAAAACATCTAAAAATAATCTATGCTGGCAGGTCTCCTTTTAAATTCATGAACACTAACCTCAAAAGTAGGCCCTGAGTACTGACCAGCATTCCTACATTTTCAGTGTCCATTTATTCTCCTAGATCACTATTTCATTATCACAACCATGATCTGTCCTAGATCACCATTTCATTATCTCCTCTAATTTTCGCATCTCCTCCCTCACTTTCTCACAGCTAATGAACTAGCTTTCTATTTCCTTCTATGCTATTACTAAGGACGAGTGCTTATCAACAGGGGTTTTAATGAACAGCCCCACCCCCATCCTGGGGGAATAGCTCCTAAATCTCTCCCACCTGCTGCCACTGTTGAAGTGCACAAGGACTCAGTCCTTGAGCCACACTTTGGAGATCTCTCGTGACCTTTTAAATATCATTTATACATGAACAATTCCCACATTTATCTCTTCAGCCCAGACTTCTCTTATAAACTCCAGTTTTATAGATACTATGCAATATGGACATTTCATTTGAAAATTCAGCATGTACAAACAAAAAATGATTTCAGACTTTCCTCCCTTACCTCCCTTACCTTATTCTGTGGTCTTCCCCAAACCAAATATTTTTTAGCTGCTAAGGCTACATATCTTGGAGTCATCCTTGACCCTTCTTCATACCTCTTGCTTTAGCTTAGACACAAGCCCAGAATCTGGTCATTTCTCACCATCATCACTATTATCACACTGATCCACGTCACCTTGACCTTAAACCTGGATAAATGGCCTACTAAGGGGTCTCATTATTTCTGCCTTCCTAAAAGACAGACAACATAGCAATCAGAAAGATCCTTCTAAACACAAGTCAGATGAGTTTACTCCTTTACTCAAATCCTACCATCCCATTCGAAGCAAAAACTAAATCTAACAAAGTCCTACAAGGCTGTATATGAGCTGGCCCCATTCTAACCTGATTACCTTCTTCTCCCCTTTTTTGCTCACTCAGTTCCAGCCAAACTAGCTGGTAAGTTCCTGCCTTAGGGACTTTGTGGTAGGTCTAATGGCTCATTCTACTACATCCACATGAAATCCTTCTTTATCACTTTTAGCTCTCCACTCAAATATCATCTTTTCTAAAGCCACCACAGCAATTTCCCATACAGGCCACCAACATTCCTTGTTACCCTTCACAATTTTATTCTTTCTAGCACTTTCACCACCTGACATTTTAAAATTAATTTTTACATTAATATCTTTCCCTCTCACCCTCCAAGTGAACTTCATGATGGCAAGAATTTTTATTGTTTTGTCCACTGCTTATTATATTTACTTTTTGTTCGGTGCCAGGCACATAACAGGCACTCAGTATTTATTAAATTAATAAAGCAAACCTACACTTGAGAATGTACATTATTCTAAATAGTCGTAGTCATATAGTACCATTCCATTCACTTCCCCCAGTTTTAACCAGTGTACCTTTGAAGATCAGAACACATACTCAAAATCTAGCATAAAGCTCTAAAATTCACCTCAACTGCTACCCTCAGCCCAATATCTTTACTTTCAAATTCAAAATTCAACCAACAAATCCATCTATGGAAATCACAAACAATTCAGTTCAAATCCAAGTACCCAGCTCAAAAGACTCTGAAATTTATCACGTGGATTCTGGAAGGTTTTGGAAGTTCAGCGATGTTTGACAGTCCCTTGAGTTCTGATTGCTGCTGAAGACATGCTGTGCCTCACCACCCTTGAGAAAAATCTAGAACCAATCCAGTTTCTCTACGTTCCTCCAGTTTCAGGTATGATTTGAAAATAATCCAAAGTATAAAGGATGTGAAAGTTCTTTGCCAACAGAAAACGACGTCGTCAGCACTAAATATTATTAGTAAAATGAGAATGAATGCCGTTGAGAAAATAAACTGGAGGAATCACCCACTAAATTCGGATAGAATCGAACTGCCTGTAAAACAATTACAATTTAAATAACTGTTTCACGAAAAATGCACGTCTTGAACTAAACTCTAGAGCCTGCGATAAGACGCCACGCTTCCTACTTTCATAAGGAACTGAGATATTCCCAGAAAGATCACACAGGCTACACTCTCCGGCCTGCCCAAGGTCCTCAGGGGCGGCGTCTGGCCAACCCCACCTCCCCCGGAGGAACCACCTTCACCCGCCACCGCCGCCCGGGGGAGCGCTCCTCTAGCCCGCCACTCGCCCCTCCCTCTTACCACACCTACCTGGCACCTCCCCAGCCCTTCTCCTCCTGGCATTTCCCCACACTAGGAAGACGGGGAGACGGACACACACACACACACACATACACACACAATCACACACACCCTACCAGAAACGCCAGCTCCTTCTCCGGCTTCCCGCACGGGTGAGGACGCTCGGATCCCGGGCTCTAGTAGGGCGCCGGCGCAGGGGGCTTGACACACTGTCCCGCAGAGCCGCGCGAGCCTGGAGTCCCGAGAGCCCGCGCAGCCGCAGAAGGCACCGCCGCGGAGGTCGGAGCAGAGCCCTACTGCACTTCCGCCCTCCGGTATCCAGCCAATACAACCCGCAGCGCCCCGGGGCCTTGGAAGCCCACAGCAAGTCCAGTCACTCTCGGCGCCCGGAGATGACGTCATTGGATCCCACGTGGCCCGCACTCCACCCTTCGCTTTCCGCCCAACCCCGGGAGGAGGCCCGAGCCGCTCCTGAGCATGCGCAAACAGAGCGGAGCGCTTGAATAGGGGGCGTCAAACCACTGGCAAGTTTTCAGCTTAATACCGGTTTAGGGAGTCTTCGTGCCTTTGGCATAGTCATTGGCGTTCGAGGCTAGTATAAGTTCTGCAAGAGTAGAGACTTTCAGAATTGCTGAGACGGTGCCCCACAGAACTTGACTACAGCCTCTCTTTCCTGGTTTCACAGAATAATATTAAAAAATGGTTTTCAAAGTGTTTTCTCATTTGGTCTTCTCAACTTAATCCCTGCTGTCAGGCCCACAGCAGGGATTAATAGCGGTATTTAATAAAAGAAGACTATACATGAGTAGTAAAGCCATCTCATCCAACCAATAGGGCATACCTATATCTTTATGTTCATGAAAATAAGAGCAATTAAAAAACTAACTCCTAGGGGCGCCTGGATGGCTCAGTAGGTTAAAGCCTCAGTCTTCGGCTCAGGTCACGATCTCAGGGTCCTGGGATCCAGCCCTGCATCCGGCTCTCTGCTCAGTGGGGAGCTTGCTTCTCCCTATCTGCCTGCCTCTCTGCATACTTGTGATCTTTCACTCTGTGTGTGTGTCAAATAAATAAATAAAATCTTAAAAACAACAACAACAACAACACTGACTCCTAAAGAGTGTTCAATTTGATCTATCCATAAGTCTTAACTGGGTATTTAACATCTAATCATGCATGCCATACAACAAATTCTATACATGTTAGATAAATATTGTGCTGAGACTCAAAATAGGTTCCTGGCCATTGGGAATTTTGGAGAAATCCTAGGAGTAGCCACAGGATTCTCTTAAAAAGAGGAATCTTCTTGGAGATAACTAGTCCAGTGATTTTAAAATGATGAGTCACAGCCCATTGGTGGGTCATCAAATCAAGTTGGTAGATCATGACTGCCATTTTTTTAATGAAATAAAGTAGAAAATATTGGCATCCTTCACATAGATTACAGGTAAATATTGTTTCCTGAAATTTTTACTTCAGAATGTATGTGGTTAAGAATGTGAAATACATTTCTTGGTATGGATAGCAGTCCAAAAAGTTTGAAAGCCATAGTCTGGTCCACTCCTCCTACTTAATGCAGAAATCCCCTCTATAGTATCCCCAGTAGATGCCATTAGCCTCTGAAAAAAAGCTCTTGGAATTAAGATGCCCCACTGTGTGACAGACTAACCTCCTCTTGGATGAACTGACCGTGATGACCACACTGTGACTTGAAGCCTTCTTGAGCACATCCTCCAAACATGCATTCTTTGTCTTTGTTTAACCAGACTATACTCCCCAGCCTTTCGGGTTATAAAAGCAAGTCTTACAAGAAGTGGGGTCTTGCAGCCACCCAAGACACACTTCTGTCAGTAAGTCCCCTTAATAAATCATTTCTCATCAAGCTGGACTTACAGCCATTTCCTTTGGGCTTAAGTTTCCTTCAGCCTTTGAAGGTCATCTGCCTGTACCTCCCTTTCACAGAACACCAACCTTCCCAATGATAGCCAAAACTGTATGGAAATTCCTTGGTAATATATCCAAAATATTAGTTGGATTTATGGGTAGACAGAGGAATGGGTAGCTGGGTAAATATTTGATAATGCATAAAATGTTAATAATAGAATCTTGGTGGTAAGTATACAGTTATTTGCTGTAAGATTCTTTTAACTTTGTTAAATATTTGAAAAAATAATAATAACAAAATGTTGAGGGAAAACTATGGAGAACCTAATAGGAAGAAAGTTATTACATTGGCTAAAATCCAGCTTCTTGTGACTTTTAAGAATTGACCATATTTTCTTCCTTTCTCCCCTTGTCCTTTCCCAACCTTGTGACTACAACCTACAATAGAAGTATCTAACCCCTATTCTAGTAGCACTTCCGGTATGAAAAAATCGCTCTCATGCCCCTCACTTGGGGCTAACAAATGTCAGTTCTTTCAGCCAATCTGCACATGACAGACGTTCTCCTCTGGACATGGTCCAGTTATTAGTGTCCCTATTAAACAGTTATACTCTTTCTCATCTCATGATTATGCTCCTTGAGCAAAAATTTGGGGAAAAGAGGGATTTTATATTTGTTCTCTGTCATTTCTATTTGTCAACATTATGTCTTACCTCTCCGTGGCAGTGTATCTTTCAAATTTTTGTTCTACGAGGATAACTCTTAAAGAGCTCTTTTGACTGACCTTACCATTTCCCCCAAGCCTCAACTCATTCTGGGTTACTCTCAGGCAGCTATCTGAATTCTATGAACTTGCTTCTAAAGTCCTCCAAAATTCTGAATTCAAAGGAGAGACTCCAGACTAGTCTCTGATAATAACATGCTTTCTCTCCCTCTCACTATAATAGCCTGCACTTGTAAAGCCTGGTTTTTATTTTTGCATGCCGCACAACTTGTAAGACTCAAAACTGTGGGATTACAACTTTCTTTGCTCTAAATTTACTTAAATTTGCCTTCCTAAACTCTACGGTGTCGTTACTATCCCTGTGAACTCTAACATGCCATTACTTCCTGACCCAAATGTCCCATCTACTCTCTTTTGTCTCCAACCTGCTAGTTTCAGAGGAAGAATTAGTTAAGCCAAATTTAATTCTTCCGCTTCAGCTCTAGCTCCCCTGACTGTGCTCCAACCGTTTAACCTGTCTCTCCAATTTCGCTCACTTCTCGTTTCTGTCTTCAGTCTATGGACATACTCAAGTGTGCTCTCATCCTATTAAAATCCTTCTACACTCTTTACTTAAACTCTTAGGATAGCCTCCTAACTGGTCTCCCTGGCTCAAGCCTTGCTGCATCTCTATTTGACTTTGATTTCAGCCAGAGTGGATTATAGTCATCCCCACTTGTCCACAAGGAATACATTCCAAGACTCCCCACTGTGGATGCCTGAAACCACAGATAGTACCAAACCCCTATTTGTACTATGTTTTTTCCTACACATACATAATATATAAATTAGGCGTAGTAAGAGATTAACAGCAATAACTAATAATAAAATAGAACAACTATAACAATATACTATAATGAAAGTTTTGTGAATGTGGTCTCTCTTGAAATACTGTAGTGCACTCAACATCTGGTAACGATGTGAAATGATAAAATGCCCACATGATGTGATGAAGAGAGGTGAAGGACACGGGCAATGTGATGTAATATTAGGATATGGTGACCTTCTTCTGACAAAATATCAGCAGCAGAACCATCTGCTTCCAGACCTCAACTGACTGCTGCTGGTAACTGGGACTGCGAAAAGTGAAACCATGGATAAGGGAGCACTACCATGCTATATTACACATTCTAACCATGTTACTCTGAGACTTAGAACCTTTTAGCGATTCCTTCTGGGCAAACTCCTAGTTTCCTTGCATGATCAATTGGTTCCTTTCCTCCTTCCCCAGTACTCTCTGTTTTGCACTTCAGACTCTAATGGTGTCAAACATTTTGCAGTTCTGTGCACTGAGGCTATGTCATGCTTCTGTGTCCTTGATCCCTCTGTCCTGCTGCCTGAAATGCTACCCTTCACCAGACGTGTCTTCCCTAAAACGTTATCCCCCCACATCCCTTCTTCCCCATTTGGTCTACACCACTCATTACCTAAGTTCAGGTGTTAGAAAGTTTTTCCTGATCCACCCAATCTAGGTCAGGTGCTCCTCATGGTTTTCTCAGTCTTTTTTTGAATCCTTATCACCAACACAATGCCGGCCATTCAATACATGTTTGTTGAAATAAACTAAACTGAACATGAGTTTTCTTCCATGATTATCACTCTCACCTTAGGAACTAAATTCTTTCCTCGTGCTTGGAGTGTAAGCAGAGAGCAGTGATTTCCATTATTACTTTATCAATTTCAAAATTAACAGCAAGGAAAGTTGAAAGTAGTAAGCAAGGTAAACAGTAAGGGTCTCCAACACCCCTGCATCCTGTCTCCGGGACAGTTTGCTGATCTGTGTGGTAACAGTTTTCACAAAACAATTTGGATTTCTGGAATCTGATGATTGTGGACCCACATGGCCACATGGCAACCATGATCTGGATCTGGGCAGCAGCCGCTCCCTTTTAGGCTAGGCATGGCCTCCCCTCTTTGTTATTGCTCCACAATCTCACTGATTTGGATATTAGGTTACCTACCTGGGCACAAGAGGCATCAGAGTTTAACACACCTGTATAGCTCTTTATATTTCTAAGACACTGCCTACCTCAGTTTTTTGCACATAGATATTAATTTTGTTGAATAAAAGATCAACCAGTCCAAAACGTGTTATACTGAAGAATTTAACACACATTTAATTGTGATTATGATCATCTTTGTGATTTTTAAGATTTTACTTTTAAGTAATTCTAAGGACACATGCTTGAAAGTTGGGAGAGATATATGGGTGTATACATATATGTGTATATATATGTATATATATATTTTTTTTTCCTCTCATGCAGTGAAAGAACATTTGGAGGATCTAAATATTATTTCAAGACTTCCAGTGGTCAACAGTCATAGGAATTCCATTTGTATCTACTTAACTGGCATTCTAAAATCTATCCAGGAGCTGGATAGACAGACTTTTATTTTTAATGACTGCCTTTCATGCACTGTGTCAAGTCCCCATTCAGTCAACTATTTCTTAAGCTTGCATTGTTACGTGCTTGATAAAATGAAAATAACTCCAAAGCAACATCAAAGGAACCCCCAAATTTAAATACATGCATGAATATGTATTTTAAGATCATAATTTGGGACAGTTTTCTTATGACTTCCATGTCAACTATAAGTACCATATGTAATTCTCTCACCACTACAGATAAAATATAGGTTTCTATTGAAAATACTGTGTTGTAAGACTGTATGATTCTGGTTACTCAGAGCACTCTACCTACTTTTCTATACAG